ACCCCGTCTCTACTAAAAAATACAAAAAACTAGCCGGGCGAGGTGGCGGGCGCCTGTAATCCCAGCTACTCGGGAGGCTGAGGCAGGAGAATGGCATGAACCCAGGAAAATGGCGTGAACCTGGGAGGCGGAGCTTGCAGTGAGCTGAGATCCGGCCACTGCACTCCAGCCCGGGCGACAGAGCGAGACTCCGCTCAAAAAAAAAAAAAAAAAAAAATTTCTCATCTTGTTTGGGCTTCTCTCTTTTTGTTTTTTTCCTTCTGACTTTTAAATGGACTAAGTTATATTTCCTCTGAGTACTCATGTCACTCTGAAGATATTTTTCCACGTGGTTTCAGGTGCCTCCTAAGACATTCTGGGGGGCGGTGGTCAGTGCGCTCGTTGCTTCAGGAGGTGGCAGAGACAAAGCCTACGATTTTCCGTACATGTCACAACAGCAAACAGCCCAACTGTCCTGACCCTGGCAAGGGGATGAAAATGCCGCAGCCTCCTTCCCCAGCCTGATCCTAGCTTGGGAGTTCCTTTCCTTGTGGATCCTCCCCAAGAATAGGGATACCTCGGTAACAACTGCTTTCCTTAAATACAATGTCTAGGGCTGGGCGCGGTGGCTCATGCCTGTAATCTCAGCACTTTGGGAGGCTGAGGCGGGCGGATCACTTGAAATCAGGAGTTTGAGACCAACCTGGCCAACATGGTGAAACCCCATCTCTACTAAAAATAAAACATTAGCCGGACTTGGTGGTGCTCGCCTAGTAATCCAAGCTACTTGGGAGGCTGAGGCAGGAGAATCGCTTGAACCAAGGAGGCGGAGGTTGCAGTGAGCCGATATCGTGCCACTGCACTGCAGCCTGAGGAACAGAGTGAGCCTCCGTCTCTCAATAAATAAATCAATCAGTAGAATAATGTCTGATTAATGAAAATCACTCCAATTCATAATTTCCCAGAAACATGGCCTTTATCACTATCGTCTATTATTGAGACCTTTAATTTTTTCTTAAGGACTTTTCAATCCCTAGGTGCAGTTGTTTCAGACATTTGGGGTAAGGGATGGGGTTAGATGCGTCCCTTCTTGCCAGCAAGCAGGTGACCATTTGAAGAATAACAGCACCTTCCATTGTAGGCTACAGAACAGCTGGTGAATGATATCCTGAGACAGGCTTTGGCAGTTGGATACCAGACAGCTTCTCACAACAGGTATTACTGTCTCTGCAGTCCGTGGTGTGAGGCTTATACCTCTTTCCTAACAGTTGAATTACCCATGAAGGTGTTTTATACTTACATCAATCCAGTAGGAGGTGGAGAGAGTGCTTAGGACACTCTTAGAGACAGATGAACTCAAGGGTCTGCTCTGTCATTTGTAGAGAACCTCAGTTGTGAAAGCTCACTCAGCTTTGCTCAGAGGTTTATATCCTCCTCCTCATTACTTCACAGACACCTAGGACTCTGTTTTATTACAGGGTTGAATAAATATTAGCTTTGCAATTAAAGATAACAGTGTCCGTTACATGTCAGACATGAGGGCCAAGCATTGCATGTATTACCTTACTTGTTTTTCGTTGCAGAACTGTTATTCCCTTTTTAAAAATCAGGAAACCGGGCTTTGAAAGGTAATCTTACCCAGCTTTCCCAGAAGATACAGTGGCGACCTGGACTTCCGACTCAGGTCTCACTGGCTCTGAGGCTCCCGGGCTTGCCACTGCTCTTTGCTGACTCTCATTGTGTTCGATTGAGACACTGAGTTTCAGTCTTTTCCTAGGCCCTGAAAGAATGGTAGATAGGCCACATCTGCTTTTCTTTCAGAGGAAACGAATATTATTTTATTGCATTATGCTAAAGGCCGTCACAAATTTATAAAATTGTAGCAAAGTGCCTGAGGACATGAAGGGCCTAAATCAGAGGAATGTTAGATGAAGCTTCACAGGAATATATCAGACAACATAGACATCTTTAGAGAAAAGGAAGTGAACCAAGAGTTCCGGTCCTGCTGCCCGCTGTCCTGCTTGGACCCACAAGTGAGCCAGGGGCCTCCTGTGGCTCCTGCTCACCTCTGTGCTCCCTGTTCTGGAGGGGTAGAGTGACTTGGGTGCTTTTGATGGAACGATTAACATCACGCCTGGCCTGGCGTGACTCCATCTCCCGTCTTTCCAGGAGATGGGAAATGCAGTCCCAGAGTTTTGTGGTGCTTTGACTCAGCTTTTGGTCTGCTGAGACTCACTCACAAATGTGTCATTCCGTTCTGCCATCCACTTTGTTTTCTTTCTCTTTTCTCAGTTCTCAGAATCTTTTTTCCTAATCATTCAACCAACTTGTTGACATCCTTCTCATGCCTATGACTAGGAAGGCAGTCCCCACCCCCAGAGTGGCCCTAAGCTATGTCTGTGGCTCAGGAGCCCTCTTCAGGGGGCCTCTGCCTGGGATGGTCCCTGTGGTGAGTTAAGTGAATGAATGATGAGATACGTGTGAGAGAATTTCACCTGGTAACACCCTTTGTTTTTTGGACCAGGATTCCCAAAGAAATTACAGTGAGTAATATTCACCAGGCCATTTGCAACATTCCTTTTCTGGATTTCCTCACAAACAAACACATGGGAATATTGAATGAGGACCAGTGAGCGGAGTGAGGTGCCCTGGAGAAGCAGGCTTTGAAGGCGCAGCGAAGCTGTAACTGAGGACCCTGCTGCTCGGGAAGGAGGTGGTTTCCAGTGCGCCTCGGGATGTCATGGCTACCCAACCATTGCCGCTCCTGTTCCCGCGTGCCACCAGCATGCTCCACTCCAGATGAAATCCATTGGACAGGAGTTTGTGTCCTCAGTGTGGAGTGAGGCTGTCAGTGGATACGTGCTTTGTCGGTCAACGTTTCTGCAGTCTCTGTAAAGGCCCCATGAGACTTGGGCCAGGCCATGTGCCTCAGGCCCTTCTCCCTGAGTGTGCTCATGGGGGCTCCTTGGGCCCGCCTCCCCAGGAGATAGAAAAGGAGTGGCAGGCTAGAGATTTGAACCATCTTGTGGGCTGGAGTTACCAGTAGCTCCAGCAGTTATCCTGAAGAAAGATTGGGCTTCAGCCTTCAGCAAGTGGTTCTCTCCCCTCCCTGGCCTTGGTGTGGAGGGGCTGTATTCTGAGCCCAAGTGAGTCAGCTATAGGAAGAGGCCATACCTAGAGCAAAGAACCAGGAAGGCCTGAGAGACGGCAGACTGAGCAGAATTCCTTTTTTGAGCACAGGAGCATTACTAGAACCATTGTCAAAGCAGTGGCAAGAGACGGAGAGGCCCCAATGGGAGTCGGGAAGAGCTTTGATTATAACCAAGAAAACTCTCACTATGCTAGGAATAGACAGCGCGCACCAGCCCCGGACACTTGGCAGAAGCGTAGCAGTGTTACACATGTGTGTGAAGCAGCTTGCAGGCTCCATGCCATCTGCATGGTCTGCAGGAACTTCTGCTGCTGACCCCATGCTGAGTGGCCAGTGGGGAACAGCCCCCGGCAGGCTCTTCTGGGGTGGTCTGTCCTATCCGTGGGTTGTGTATCCTCTTCTCTGTTAAGGAGTTTTTCCCAAGAAGAAAAGTATTTAAAAGAAGTACCAGTGAGTGCCTTAAAGTTGGAGAAGTAACTGCCCATGCCCAGAAACAGGGATGCCAGTGCCCGGAAGCAGTGAGATTAGGCTGTGTCCACAAGCAGAGGACCCCTCGATGGGAGGGGGTGGCAGGCAGGCAGAAGGAAGGCAAGCGGTGGCCGGGTCCATTGAAGGCGTCCCATCTCAGACTTCCTAACACGGCCTATGTGGAAGGCAGAACAGAGAACACATGCTCAGTCAGAAATCTGTTTCCTGTTCTGCTCAAGAAGAATCGGCAACCATTTGTCAGCCAATGTTTCTGCAGTCTTTGTAAAGGCCCCGGGCCAGGCCGTGTGCCTCAGGCCCTTCTCCCTGAGTGTGCTCAGAGTCAGTGAGTCAGAGTCAGAGAAACTTACCCAAGCAACATAATTCCTGTTTTCATGGGTCCTGTAGATGTTTGAGTCAGGAAGATAAGGCAGGGAGTGACTGAATAAACTCTGCCTTTTAAGTTGAGCATCTGAGCCGGTCACAGTGGCTAATGCCTGTAATCCCAGCACTCTGGGAGGTCGAGGTGGGTGGGTCACCTGAGGTCAGGAGTTCGAGACCAGCCCGACCAACATGGTGAAACCCCATCTCTACTAATAATAAAAGTTAGCCGGGCATAGTGGTGTGTGCCTGTAATCCCAGCTACTCAGGAGACTGAGGCAGGAGAATCACTTGAACCCAGGAGGCAGAGGTTGCAGTGAGCCAAGATTGTACCACTGCGCTCCACCCCTGGTGACAGAGTGAGACCGTCTCAAAAATTAATTCAGCATCTTGAGGGCTGCAAGTGCAGAAGGAATCTATTCTCAGTAGGGCATAGGGCATGCACTGGCTTAGCAGTTTAGTATATAAGGCTTGAATAGTCTATATGTGAACTGCTATAAGCAGGGTTGATAGGGAAGTGGATAGATTGCTTCAGCAAAGTGAACTGTGTGATCTCCAGGATGGAGGGAGAAAGATCTGATCCAAACGAGAACAGGTTTGTTTATTACAGGTATGACAGCCTAAAGAAATTACCTTTTTGCAAAAGAAATATTAAATGATTTAGCAGTCTCCATGTGTGTTAATGTTTCAAATGTGTATCATAATGTGTATAATTGTGTAACAAAATTGTCTACAATAAATCTTTTGGTATTTGTGGTGGGTGTTTCTGAGTTTGAAGCGTGGTACTCAGGCAGGGTTCTCCTTGTACTGGGATGCGGTGACAGTGTAGATTCTTATTGGTATGTTTAATTCCTCTCTTTCTTGCCAAAAAAAAAAAATGTTGCAACCATACAAGATAAAGGATTACAGTTACATAAAAGTCTAAAAAAATTTGGAAATGGACATAATTATTTCTGACGGCTTGGGGCAGAAGAAAACTGCATAAATGAGCTCAGAGCTTTCTTAAAGCCAAGGCAAAGAGAGAATCAGCTCCTGGTGTCTAACAAAGAAACATACCAGGTTACCTGGCAGGGTAAAGTTGGACGGTGTTGAGGTCTGAAAGAAGTTACTCCTATGACACGGTCCTTATGCTGTGACCATCTGCTAGCATATGGCTCAAAAATAATGAAAAATCCAGAAACATCAGAGCCGAACGATTTTGAAATCTTTGGTTCTTCAAAGGCATTATGATACAGTCCAAGTATGTAACTTTCTGGGGACCAGACTTCGCTGAGAGTCAGAATGGAGAGTCGAAGAGTCTGGCGGCTGAGAGTTAGGGGTGTGCCTAGGCTCACCTTCATAAATGTTTATTGTCTCAGCCAAGGTTTTGGCAGAGCGACACAGCAGGCTCGGATCAGTGCCACAGGCAGTACCTTGAATGACTTGGACTCCAGGTTATTGATTGAAGGAGCCCTGTGTGAATCGGGCCAACAGAGCTGGGGTTGAGGCTTTATCTTGACCCTGTTCAAAGGGGAGGTTCTTCCATCTGTCGGGTGGGCTGCAGGGCCTGGCTTTTCTCAAAAGCTGCTTTTGGGAATGTGGCCTGAGTCCTGGAGTTGTGTACCATGGAGCACAGAGAGGCGAAACCTTGATGTAAATGCCTGCAAACCACCTTGACTTGTGGAAGGACCTTTAGGACTTTCCGCCTGCAGAGCGTCACAGCGCAGCCCGTGGCTGCTTGAGGCAGCTCCTGCAGTGGCAGCTTGGGTCGTGAAATAAACTTAACATTTTCTTTTGTCTAGAATTTGCTAACAGGTTGAGCTGCTTTTTACTTACTTATTTTGAGACAGTCTGGGCCGGGTACAGTGGCTTATGCCTGTAATCCCAGCACTTTGGGAGGCCGAGGTGGGCAGATCACAAGGTCAGGAGATCGAGACCATCCTGGCCAACATGGTGAAACCCCGTCTATACTAAAAATATAAAAATTAGCTGGGCATGGTGGCGGGCGCCTGTAATCCCAGCTACTTGGGAGGCTGAGGCAGGAGAATCGCTTGAACCTGGGAGGCGGAGGTTGCAGTGAGCCGAGATCGTGCCATTGCACTGCATCCAGCCTGGGCGACAGGAACAAGACTCCATCTCAAAAAAAAAAAAAAAACACGGAAGCTGCTCTCCCACCCAGGCTGGAGTGCAGTGGCGTGATCTCAGCTCATTGCAACCTCCGCACCCTGGGTTCAAACGAGCACGTCTGGCTAATTTTTGTATTTTTAGTAGAGATGGGGTTTTACCATGTTGGCCAGGCTGGTCTCAAACTCCTGACCTCAAGTGATCTGCCCGCCTCAGCTTCCCAAAGTGCTGGGATTACAGGCATGAGCCACTATGCCCGGCTTGCTTTTTATTTTTAAAAACTTTTTCTTTACAGAATTATTACAAAAACATTTATAGAAACTTTAGCAAGCATAAAAAATGTGTTTTAAAAGCTCCTCCTAATTCCCCCTCTGAAAGATAATCACTGCTGACATCTCTCAGTGCCTGTCCGTCTGTCTGCTCTGCGTATTATACATGTGTGTGTGAGATAGGTAGGAGTTGGGGCCACGTGGTTGAGACTTGTCTCAGTTGCTCTTGGATCACTTGCTGAACATGTTAGGCCTGATTAGACCTAAGTGAGTGGGAAGGAGTTTCATCAGAACCCACATCTCCTCATAAAGAGGCCAGGCTGGGTGCCGTGGCTCACACCTGCAATCCCAGTGCTTTGTGGAGGCTGAGGCAGGAGGATTGCTTGAGCGCAGGAGTTCACGGCCAGCCTGGGCAACCATAGGGAGACCCTGTTTCTACAAAATTTACAAAAATAATAAAAAATGGCCGGGTATGGTAGCTCAATGCCTGTAATCCCAGCACTTTGGGAGGCCGAGGTGGGCGGAACATCTGAGGTCAGGAGTTCAAGGCCAGCCCGGCCAACATGGTGAAGCCCTGTCTCTACAAAAATCAGCTGGGCGTGGTGGTGGGCGCCTGTAATCCCAGCTACTCGGGAGGCTGAGGTGGGAGAATATCGCTTGAATGTGGGAGGCAGAGGTTGCAGTGAGCCGACATTGTGCCGCTGCACTCCAGCCTGGGCAACGGGGGAAAAAAAAAAACCAGGCATGGTGGTGGCATGCCCCTGTGGTCCCAGCTACTTGGGCAGCAGAGGTGGGAGGATCGCTTGAGCCCAGGAGGTTGAGGCTGCAGTGAGCAGTGATCACACCACTGCAGCCTGGGCGACAAAGCGAGACCGTCTTGGTGATGAGGATGGTGCACCCTCAGAGGAGCACTGGAGTTGGTGTTTGTGAAAGGCTGTATGCTGTGCACTGCAGGGGCTCTTGCCCATTTGTTTGCCTTGCAGTCAGGCCTGTCTGGTGTGGTGAGGCCTCTGCTGCGGCTACCCCAGCAGCACTGCCAGGAAGGGGCAGGCCTGGTTGGTCCTGGCTGAGGCGCAGCAGAGCTGGCCAGCCCATTATAGGAAAAGAACAAACGAGCATCCCAGGTGCTGTGCAGGGTGACATTGGCCAGGGGGTGGTGAGGGGCTGTGAGCACAGGGCATCAAGCTAGAGGACGCTGGGAGCAGCAGGTGGGAACAGAGCTGGCTCCAGGGAAAGTGAGGAGGGGGGACTAAGGCAGGAAAGAATAATCCTAACACCTGTGTCTCAGTTATTTCCTGTACTGAGCACCCCACCCATAAACACGGATATTCTCAGCAAGTTACAAAATGTAGCTGGTAGCGTCCTCGCTTTTCGGTTAAAGAAACAGAACCCCAGTTGCTCACAGGTAGCGAGTGGAGAAGCCAGGATTAGAGCCTGAGGAGCTTCAGAGAGCCCCTTTACCCGAGGCGCCTGGGTGAGGGTGGGCGACAGGGTGGGTTCTGTGGGCTGCACCTAACACGTGCCCTGCAGCCCACACAGCAAGAAGTGCTCAGGATCAACAGGCCTCTGAGGTATGGAGGCAGCTGGGCCCCACTGAAGTCCTTAGCACCAAGAGACCGGAGAAAGCAAGCATGAGAAAACTCGTGTTTACAATTTAAGAAATTGAAACTGTACATTTTTGCATTTTAGTAAAACTGAGATTGTACAGTTTAATCTCATTTCCCCAGACACCCAGCAGGCAGCCTCTTTTCTCTTAGAAAAATCAAACATGCAAGCCGTGAAGTCTGAAATAGCAGAACCCCTTGGATAAGCACACGGTTTGGACTTCTTTAAAGTGAGCCTCTCACCAAGAGCATTTCCTGTGCTGGCATGAGGGGAGGGCTATGCCTGCCAGGGCTAGCACCTGGAAGGGACGCTGACAGGCAGCCTGAGCTGGAACCACTGTCCCACCTGCATGTCTGGTGGCTCTGAGACCCGAGTGGAGTGCCACCATCTGCAGCTTAAATGCTCGTCAGACTAGAGCCACTTGTGGGCCGGAGAGGAAGAAAGATCCAAAGGGAAATCCACAAATTTCCTTACTGAAGACTGTCCTGAGCTTGTGCCTCTAAGCTTTAAAAAGGGATGTAGACCCTTCAAATGTGTGAAGGGCTGCTGTGCAAAGGGACCAGGCGTGACCCATGTGGCCATGCTGGCTGGAATTTACGGAGAAAGTTAGGAGAGAGCTTTGCAAAGAAAATGAACTGCCTCTTCAAAAGGTGGTGAGTTCCCTGTCACTGTCCATGTGAGCAGGGTAGACAGAAGGGGAAGGGTTGGTGTCGATGACATTTTAAGGTATTTCAGGGAATGAGACAATGCCACCTTCCCAAAAACAGTCCCCGTTCTTAGCCAGTGTGTACGGTAGTGTCCTTCTCGTCATCCTTATGTTAGGGGGGGAAATAATTAGTAATAAAATGTAGATTCAGTCTTTAGACACCTACCACAAGGTAAATGTGATTCATTCAATCCCAAGAAATGTTTTGTTAAAACATGAGGCTCATCTTGGCCATAAGGAGGTCTGTGAAGTGGAAGTCCGTGACTGACGGTCTGTTTCTTCCAGAAATTTCCTCCTGGATACTCAGCATCACCATGAGTCATGCAGGTGATGGCCCAAGATTCCTACAGCTTCAACTGCAGGGGCCATTTGTAGGAAGAGCCAAGGGTCTCACCATAGGTTATAAAATTAATCAAGTGCTCATGCATCCTGGGAAATCCACCAAACGTGGACATAACTGGATGTGTCCACATTGCTTAGCTTCCATGGACCAATTCGGTTCCCAACTGACTTGCTCCTCAGGCTCCTCTCATTTCAAAACCCAGAGATGGCCAGATGGCAGTTACGAACGCGGGAGCCTTCCACAGGCTTCTCAAGAGGACGCTTGAGGCTGAGCTGAGCTGGGTGTGCCAAGTCCATCGGTGCATCTGCCCCGCACCAGCACCTCAGCCCTGGTGACAGCTTTGAGAGGGGCTGTGCCCTCCTGGAGGGGCCCATGCCATGCTCTCGCCCAGCCCCACGGTAGTGGGTCCTGAGGCCGCTCCCCAGCCCTCTCCTGTCAGCAGCCACGGTGTCACGGTGCAGGCAGTCACACGTTGAGAATCCGGGGAGCTGAGGCCTGAAAGATGGCGGAGGGGTTAGGAGTGAACTTCTTCCTCACCTCTGGGACCTGAAAAATGGAGTGTGGCCACATATCAGCGGGACTTTTCCTTACCTCCCTACCCCCCAGCTCCAGGAAAAAATCCCCTCCCATCCTCTAGGAGTCCAGACGCGAAGGGTCAGAGGGGACTTGCTCACCGTGAGCCATAGGCGTCATAGCATTAGTGGCTCAGTGGCACATGGACCTTCCATTCTGCTCCCTGAACCACCTGGGAATTGGGGAGCCGAGGTGCCCCCACTCCCTCCCATCGCCTCTTTCCTCTTACATAAATGCTCCGATACTCGGGCCAAGGGTAAGATGGGGATTTAGGATGCAGAGACCCTGCTCACCAGAGAGGCCAACACTAGAGGGCCACCCAGCTGGCTAATGATGAAGGAGTACCTTGGGTTTTTGTTCACGACATCTGGTTGGCATTGCTGTCCCTGGTCATAATTCCATTTTACACCATGAAAATCTGGCTCCTAATCCCTACCCAGGTAAACAGGCTTCTATACCCACACCTCTGCCGCACCAGCTTCAGGCTGACCTGGAAGCCGGCCCCAGGGCTGCTGTCCCATCCCGAAGTGTGGGTTGTGATGACTCGGGCTGGTTTTGCCTTTGTGGATCTTGAGGGCTTCACTCCAGTCCAAGCCTGGAATTCCTGTCTGGAACAGAGAACACGGTCACAATCTTGCACAGGGGCAGCCATCCCTTTACCTGACTCCCCAGGGGCTGCTGCTCTGCCCCATGCACAGCCCTGCCCACTGCTGAGACCCTCAGCTCCAGGCGGTCCTTATCCTCTTCCCAAAAACAGAACTGGCAAGGCAAGCGCACTCCCGCACAGGCCCAGCTCCGGGAAAAAGCAGGTGTGTGGCCGCCCGGCCCCTCACCTCAGTGATGCACTGGGAAATATGGGCTCACCCCAGCCCCTAAGGAAGTAGGAAAGGAAGTTTATTCTCACACTGCAGGCGAGCGCAGGCTCAGGGCAGAGCTCATTCAGCACCTGCGTCTCATCCAGAATGCGCCAGCACCTGGTACTGCTGGGTCTTGGAGATGCCCAGCCCCGGTGCTCTCCCTGCACCCCTGCAATTCTCCCACGCCTGCTCCTCCAGAGCCAGGCTGCTCCAAGAGACCCAGGTCATGGTGGCCACTTATACCTGTAGAGGAAATGCCCCCAGCACCAGGCACAGCCCTGGCTCACCAGACCCGCTTAAGACTGAAGAGAAAAATAAGGCTCAGAACTTAGTTTTTTATACTTTGTCTCATTAACTCATGCAGAAGAATGGATCACAGTGACCATCTCAAAAGACTCCAAGGTGGCCTGGCCTTTGCACAGCTCCGTGCATGGTGGAGGGAGGGAGTGGATCATGTGCTCCTGCTCAGCCTGTGGCGGGGAGGGTGGTGTGATGGGGGAAGGCGGCCCCTGGAGGGAGAGGATGAGGCTGGCGCCGCTGGCTCCGTGTCCTGGGAGCAGCTTTTCTCCATGAAAAGACAGTGCTTCCATTGCTCTGAACACAAGGGACCTCCTTTAATCCTACCCACTGCTCTGTAAGACGGGGAGCTCAGAAGGCAGAAGTCCTTGTGTCCCGGGAGCACCTGACCAAGGTGGAAGTGTCCAGCTAGCTGGGCCCGGCACCCACATGAGCGCGGGATTGCTCCTGCCCAGGCTGGACTCTGCCGGGGTTTGGCTTCAGGCCCTGAGGTCAACAAAGCTGCCTTTCTCCTTGGCAGCTGCACAGCTGGGGTACCACTGGGCAGGCTGTGTGGGCAGGGAATGGCTGTGTCCATGGCCAGCACTGGGGTGCCAGGAGGAGAGCTGGGCCGGGGCCCCATCAGGTAATTTTCACTCCCGAAGCTGTGAGGTTCTAAAGATCAGCTGCCTAAACCATCTGCTGCCCTGTTTCTCCTGGGGAAGCAGGTCCTCCCCTGGGCGCGCCCTTCTGTCCCCAAAACACTTCGCGTGCCCATGCTGAGCCCTGGCTCTGGCATCCTGAGCCTGCTGCCCTGAGGTGGCTGCAGGGGTCCCAGAGCAGGAAGTGACCAGAGCCACAGACTACAGCAATCCTGGGGGCTGCCAGAGGAGGGAGTCAGGGCTGGAGTCCAGATGGGAGAGGGGATCTTAATGGAATCGGCAGGACCCAGTGACTGCCTGGAGAGAAAGAAAACAGACTAATGCTCAGGCCAAGAAGACCAATAAGAAATACAGGCCCCCTGCCTGCGATGCCCCCTTCACAATGCTCAAGCATGTCCCAGCATCAGCCCCGGAAGGAGGATTGGGAGGCCTGGGTTCTCAGCCCAATATGGTTTCAGACAAATTGCTCAACTTCCCTGAGCCTCAGTTTCTTCTGAAAAGTGGGGCTGCTGTCCCATGTGCCTGAGGTCATTGTGAGTCTTTGTATCGGGCACTCAGTAAAGTGGGGCCGAGTCTTGTGGAACTTGAACGATCAGCCCTCTAATTGCCCCGCCAAGGAAGGAAGGAAGGAAGGAAGGGAGGAAGGGAGGAAGGGAGGAAGGGAGGGAGGAAGGGAGGGAGGGAGGGAGGGAGGGAGGAGGGAAGGAAGGAAGGAAGGAAGCCACCAGAGAGCAAGGACTGTCTTCCAGAAGTGGGCAGGGCTAGCACCTGGGCCAGAGGTGCTGGAGAGAATTCAGAGGGAGCCTGTCAGGTGGAAGGAGCCAGGCTGGCTGTGGGTAGGACCTGCTGGGCCCATGTGGCCAAGCAAGCAAGGCAGATCAACTCACATGCAGACCAGAAGCCAGCAAGGCAGGCCCTGCAGGGGTGAAGAAGTTGAGGCCTGGGGATCCTGGGTAACCCTCAAGAACCTTGAGTTAGGAGTGGCCTCACATCTTCAGGATTCCTGGCTCCGTTCGTTTCCTTGGCTTTCTGAATTTCTTAAAAGTTTGCTTAGATGATGTGCATCTTGCAAGACAAAGCTGGATGGAGTGGTTTGTGCCAGGTCCCAGAGCTGGAGGGTGGGGGTCCCAGAGGCCCACTGGCATGGCGCTGGGGGGGTCAAGTTCAACAGTGATCCTGTGTTTCTGTCCAAATTGGGGGCAGGGGTCCGGGCAGCCAAGCTCTTGCTATTCCTGCTTTTTGGATGAAAAAAGGGTCAGAAAGGCTGACCCGGCCAGGTGCGGTGGCTCACTCCTGTAATCCCAGCACTATGGGAGGGCAAGGCAGGAGGATCATGAGGTCAAGAGATCGAGACCATCCTGGCCAACATGGTGAAACCCCGTCTCTACTAAAAATACAAAAATTAGGCCAGGCACAGTGGCTCATGCCTGTAATCAGAGCATTATGGGAGGCCAAGGTGGGCAGATCACGAAATCAGGAGATGGAGACCATCCTGGCCAAGGTGGTGAAACCCCGTCTCTAGTAAAAAAAAAAAAATCCATAAAAATTAGCCAGGCATGGCAGCAGGCACCTGTAGTCCCAGCTACTCGGGAGGCTGAGGCAGGAGAATGGCATGAACCCAGGAGGTGGAGCTTGCAGTGAGCCGAGATCGCTGCCACTGCACTCCAGCCTGGGCGACAGAGTGAGACTCCATCTCAAAACTAAATAAATAAATAAATAATAAAAATACAAAAATTAGCTGGGTGTGGTGGCGTGCGCCTGTAGTCCCAGATACTCCGGAGGCTGAGACAGGAGAATTGCTTGAACCCGGGAGGCAGAGGTTACAGTGAGCTAAGATAGCGCCATTGCACTCCAGCCTGGTGACAGAGTGAGACTCTGTCTCAAAAAAAAAAAAAAAAAGAGGCTGACTCACCTGAATTATTTACACACCAGGAGGTAAGAACTCCAACAAGCCCTGACTCCTGTCTGTCAAGGCTTTTCCATAGCTGGCCTGAGGACACAGTTCAAGAAAGCAAGTGACTCCAAGGAGGCAGCTCTTAAGGGATAAAAACCCTTGGGGGCTACAAGTTTGATCTCTGGGGCAAGTCACATGGGTTCCACTCCCTTCTCTGCCATTCAGAGCTGTGCCAGCCACTCAGTTTCCTCATGTGTAGAATGGGCACAGCAAGCACTACATGAAGGCCACAGGGCTAACCTGAGGGAGTGCTGAGCCTGGTGTGCGTTAAAGCAGAGAAGGTGACAGCTAGCACCTTTACCGTCACCAGAGCTGGGAGAGCACGGCAGGACATTCACTAACCATATGTTCCACACAGATGAGGTACTGCTTTTTTTTTTTTTTTTTAGCGGGGTGGGGACAGAGTCTTGCTCTGTTGCCTAGGCTGGAGTACAGTGGCTCTGTCTCGGCTCACTGCAACCTCTGCCTCCCGGGTTCAAGGGATTCTCCCGCTTCAGCCTCCCGAGTAGCTGGGATTACAGGTGCGTGCCACCACGTCCAGCTAATTGTTTGAATTTTAGTAGAGACGGGGTTTCACCATGTTGGTCAGGTTGGTCTCGAACTCCTGACCTTGTGATCCACCTACCTCAGCCTCCCAAAGTGCTGGGATTACAGCTATGAGCCACCACACCTGGCCCCCTGCTTTTTTTTTTTTTTTTGAGACAGAGTCTTGCACTGTTCCCCGGCCTGGAGTGCAGTGGCACAATCTCTGCTCACTGCAACCTCTGCCTCCCAGGTTCAAGCGATTCTCCTGCCTCAGTCTCCTGAGTAGCTGGGATTACAGGTGCCTGCCACCACATCCAGCTAATTTTTAGTAGAGACGGGGTGTCACTATGTTGGCCAGGCTGGTCTCGAACTTGTGATCTGTCCGCCTCAGCCTCCCAAAGTGCTGGGATTACAGGTGTGAGCCACCGCACTCGGCCTCTTTTTAACTTTTAAATAAAACATAATAATAACTTTTGTGATAAGCATCCTTACTGCTAAATCTTTGTTCATATCATCATTTCTTTGGGATAAATTCCTACCTGTGGAATTAAAGAGCCAAAAGGTATGAACTTTATCCCCCCAATTTTATTAGTTTTAAAAATCAAGCTGGGCACAGTGGCTGATGCCTTTAATTCCAGCACTTTGGGAGGCTGAGGCAGGAGGATCACTTGAGCCCAGGAATTTGAGACCAGCCCAGGCAACACAGACCCCATCTCTTAAAAAAACAAAAAACAAAAAAACAGGTGTAGTGCCCGCCTGTGGTCTCAGCCACTCAGGAGGCTGAGGTGGGAAAATCACTTGAGCCTGGGAGGTTGAGGCTGCAGTGAACTGAGATCATGCCGCTGCACTCCAGCCTGGGCAACAACAAAAAACCCCCCCAAAAACCCCAACCATATCAAGGCATTATTTCCAAACCATACAATTCATCCATTAAAAACGTACAGCTGGATGACTTTTGAAAAATGTATCCACTTGGGTACCACCACCATTATCAAGACACAAAGAACATTCCATGTCCCCAGGAGGAGGCTCCCTCATAGGTCCTCACTTTGTAAGGAACTCGCTGGGGGACAGTGGTTGCAGGGTGGGTCTTGCATTCCCTGACACGTCCTCAAGCTGAGCTGCTAAAGCTGGAGTGGGCAACACCGAGCCGCAGTGCTCAGGCCCTAGCCAGCTGGAGGAGCCTGAATGGCGGAGAGTCTGGAAGGCCAGAGGTCCTGGGAGTGCAGCGCATTCCAGTGGCTGAAGTTCTAGGCACCAGAGCAGGGCAAGGGGTGGAGCTTGCAGGGCGGCAGCTTCAGCTTCGGGAAGGAAGCGCTTTCTGTTAGTTACAGCAGTC